CAGACTAGTACACCACAATGTGACACGGTGGGAAACTTTCGATGTGAGCCCTGCGGTCCTTCGCTGGACCCGGGAAAAGCAGCCCAATTATGGGCTAGCCATTGAGGTGACTCACCTCCACCAGACACGGACCCACCAGGGCCAGCATGTCAGGATTAGCCGATCGTTACCTCAAGGGAGTGGAGATTGGGCCCAACTCCGGCCCCTCCTGGTCACTTTTGGGCATGATGGCCGGGGCCATACCTTGACCCGCCGTCGGAGGGCCAAGCGTAGTCCCAAACATCACCCACAGCGGTCCAGAAAGAAGAATAAGAACTGCCGTCGCCATTCACTCTACGTGGACTTCAGTGACGTGGGCTGGAATGACTGGATTGTGGCCCCACCAGGCTATCAGGCCTTCTACTGCCATGGGGACTGTCCTTTTCCACTGGCGGACCACCTCAACTCAACCAACCATGCCATTGTTCAAACCCTGGTCAACTCTGTTAACTCTAGTATTCCCAAGGCCTGTTGTGTCCCCACTGAACTGAGTGCCATCTCCATGTTGTACCTGGATGAGTATGACAAGGTTGTATTGAAAAATTATCAGGAGATGGTGGTGGAGGGATGTGGATGCCGCTGAGATCAGGCCTCCATGAGGACACACACACACACACACACACACACACACACACACACACACACACACTTTTCCATCCAACCACCCACACATACCACACAGACTGCTTCCTTATAGCTGGACTTTTATCTTTAAAAAAAGAAAAAAGAAAAGAAAAAAACCTAAACATTCACCTTGACCTTATTTATGACTTTACGTGCAAATGTTTTGACCATATTGATCATATATTTTGACAAAATATATTTATAACTACGTATTAAAAGAAAATAAAATGAGTCATTATTTTAAAGATACACTATGGCCTTTTCATCTTATTTCCGGTTCTATCCTTTTCTGTTAGGAAGAGGCAGAGGCTACAGCGGAAGTCAGGTGGTAGCTGGAGGTAGGGGCGGGGCAAAGTGATGGCAGAGAGATGGTAATTGCCAGGATGAGCTGTTTTCCATTTTTATTTAATGTTAACAAGGATGCAGTGCCCTCTCCCATCTGGATGGCACATGCCCTGCAGAAACAATGGGATGAAAGGAGTAGGTCTGATGAAAGAATTCAGCATGGGAATTCTGGCACATCTTGGTTTTGCTCACCTGTTGAACGTGTCAGAGTTTTATCCCAGTGGGAGAAATAGGTCTCAATATGAGGAAACTCACTCCCATCTTTGCCTTTATGACACCCCAGAGTGTCTTCAGTCCTGGAAAGCATCTTTGTATTTTGAACCAGATCTAATCCACACACTCACATTAATGTAGGTGTTATGTGTGTGTCTCCTTTCAAACAGGGTTTTGCTAGAACCCCCCCCCCCACCTGCTTCTGCCTCCAGAGTGCTGGAGTTAAAGGTGTCTTTTTTTTTTTTCTGAACTGAATTTTACTCAATAAGACAAACAATGGGCCCTACCTTGAGCACTCAAACAACATGTAGGAGTCTCTGTTATTGAGTGTCTGTTTACCTTTGTCTTACATTCCTCACAGAAAGGCTTTTGTCAAGTTCAGATTCCCAACATCGTGTTATGGAAGGGGACTTGGCAATAGGATGAGATACTGAAGGGTCAGAGTTATGATATTTCTTTTTCTTTCTCTGTGGCTTTGGAGGCTGTCCTGGAACTAGCTCTTATAGACCAAGCTGGTCTCAAACAGAGATTCACCTGCCTCTGCCTCCGGAGTGCCTCTGCCCGGCCAGAGTTATGTATGATATTTCATGGAGTCTGTTGGGTTATGAATCTCTTGCCTTCTCTTTCTCCACGGCCTCCACCATCCTCCCGAAACAGAGGAGTTCTTCAAAGAGAAAAGACTAATTTGGTGGCACAGTGAAGAGAATGGTCTTAGCCAGAGAAGTTGACAGAGGGCTTGCCTAGCATGCAGGAATCTTTGGGCATGATTCCAGGCTTGAGGCAGGGTGTGGTGGTAGAGGTGCTGCACAAGTACCTGTAATCTTAGCTCTCTGAGGGGGGGTAGAGGCTAAAGGATCTGAAGAAGTTCAAGGTCATGCTCAGTTACATAGCAAGGTTCTGACCAGCCTGGGTCAGAAAGACACAGACCTTGTCTTTAAACAAAAAGGGGGTGGGGGAGGAAAGGGGGAAAGAAGACATCAGTGTGCTTAGAGTTGGGGGACTCCCTCAGTTAAGGACAGTAAGAACCTTCTGAAAAGTTGTGCTTGTAGGAGTTTAGGGTAACAAAGGACATGCCTTTGTCTTTTCTCATTACTGACAGTTAAATTAAGTACTGGTATGCTCAGGTTCATTTCTGTGTCCATTTGCTCTGGTAGGATCCAATGGGTTTGGGGTAGAAGGAATGGGGTCTTTGATCCTCTGGGAAGGGCCAGGAGAAGTGCATTTCTCCATCTGTCTCTGAAGGTCTGTTTGGGTGGTGTGTCAAGCACAGAGCACAGGGGCAGCTTAGTCTTTCTCTGCGTGTCCTGGGTGCACATCTCTGCATTCTTTTACACAGTGTTGCACATGCTTCTGGGAGTCCAGTGGATAAAGCAGGACTCATTTTTGTTTTTAATTACTGAAATTCTACAGTCCTGCAAAAGGAGCAGCTTAGTGGGAACCAATATAAATAGAAGTGGGGTGGTTGCCAAAGCCCCAGCTCCCTGGAGAGCGCAGGTGGAGAGAGGAGATCAGAGCCCCCGGCCAAGGCAGCAAGACTCCCCAGCTCCTCCTAACCCCTTCCAAGGAGGGTTTTTCCCCATTGCTCCAGCCTCACTAGCCACTGCCCCCTTGATTAAAAGGACCTGGCCTGAATCACGCATTTGAGTGAAGCCCATTATGGGTTCTCCTTTGGGAAGCCTCATTGTGCTTTGCCTGGTCTTCAGCAACTCTCTGAGAACACTGTCATTGACAGAGAGCCCCAGATCTCCAGCACTAATGGTCTTAGCCTGGTGACTGTCGAGTTGAGGTCATTTTCAAGCAAGCACTCCCCCACCCCCAACCCCTTCTACTGGCTTATTTTCAGGAATGGATAATGTTGTTTCTTTGTTCAGCCAAATATTTGGTCTGGGGAATTTACCGTGAAATTCTGTGAATTGCATATACCTAGTTAACAAAATAGTCCAAGTGCCACAAATGTCAGCATGGAAAACAAGGCACCATAATCGGCTTTAACCCTTTGGACTCCTGCTTGAAGCCCAGTGTGAAGGCCTAGGAGGGGATGGACTTGAATGTGAGGAGAGTCCCTAAATTAGGTTTGCTTTAGACTCGGCCCAGGACCTTATGATAGTTTGGATCTAGCTTGGCAT